AGCCCGAGGAGGAGGAGGAGGAGGAGGAGGAGGAGGAGGAGCTGGAGGAGGGGGTGGTGAACGAGGAGGAGCTGGAGGCGGAGGCCCAGAAGGAAGAGAAGTTGACCTGGACCAGGGTTGAGCCCACCCAGCAGCCCACGTCCCAGGACACACTGAGATGGTGGTGGCAGCAGCAGCTCAAGGTCATCACGAAGGAGGAGCAAGAGCAGGATGAGAAGGAGGCAGTCAGTCGGTGAGCAGCCCCGGGGGGCTCGGAGGGGGCTCTGCGCCCGAGGGGCCTTCCCGCCAGGCGATGTTATACTCACACTGTTATACTCATTCGGGGCGGCCTCTGCTGTGCGTCCCGGCCAACTCGGTGTCCACTGGCGTCACGTTGGAAGGGTAAGATCTGGGTGGGAATATCTACAGAATGGTGATCTGAGCTTTAATTTTTTTCTCCAAGACCTGGCTATTGACCTTCACCAGCACACCACTGCAAGGAGGGCAGTTGTAGTCCTCAAGGTCTCCTAAATGGGCTTCTAGAACCAGGAGAGCAGCACCACCTCTCCCTGCACCGCTTTCCCCAGGGACTGCCCTGCGGTGGCTTTCTGTTGGGGTTGGGACTCTCTAGGCCCCGCCCAGCCCCTTCTGCATCTTCTCATTGCTGGATGCCTTTCCCCAACCTGGCCCTGAGATGGGACTAAAATTGCCCCGGGTTCAAATCCCACCGCTGCACCAGCAGCATGACATTTGGCAACTTGGGCTCTTTAAGTGTCTGTAAAATTGCAACGAGGGTGCCTCCTAGTGTTGGGAAGGTGGGGAGTTAAATGAGAATCCACGTAGAGCACGTGGCACACAGTACAGCACAGCAGAGGAGCAGTCCTGGTGGGTGAGGGCGCTGACTCCGCCGTCCTGGTGCCCCGCAGGCTCCCGGCTTTCGCCAACCTGCAGGAGGCGCTGCTGGAGAACATGATCCAGAACATCCTGGTGGAGGCGAGCCGAGGGGAGGTGGTGCTCACCTCCCGGCCGCGCGTCATCGCCCTGCCGCCGCTCGGCTTACCCAGGTGGGGGCCCCCGGGCCAGCGGCCGCGCGGACGGCGCCGGAGAGGCCTGAGGGGCAGCAGGTGGGGGCAGGCTTGGCCCGAAACCTCACCCTACCTGGGGCCTTCTATCTTCTAGGATTTCGATTGGAGACCTGCTGTCGGAGGCGCCCCCAGGGTCACAGCACACAGTGGTGTCCAGGCTGGTGGTACCGCCCCCTACTGACTCTTCCAGGACGCCAGCGCCCGGCCCCTTAGACTTGCTTCCCTAGGTTCCGCGCGGCCCCCTCTCCACCGCCCACCAGTAAAGCATCTAGCCTTTTTTTCTGTATCTGCCTTTACTTTATTTCTCCGACGGGGGAAGCAGCTCGCGCACCTGCTCTGACGAAACAGATGGTGGGAGCGGCCATCGTGGACCGCAGCGACTCACTGGAGACTTGGGGGCTGGCTGGGAGGTGGCGCCTCTGCGCCCCACGCCACAGCCAGGCGAGGGCTCTCGCGGCCGGCTGCCTGGCTCCGCACCTGTCAGGCCAGGGGACGGCGCTTCGGCTGGGGCCTGGCTGGCCTTTGCCCCAGGGTAGTCTGGTGGACTGGAACTGAGGACCCGGCCTGGTTAGTGCAGCAGGTGGCCGCGGGTCGAGGTGACCTCTCCGAGGCCCGGCCACTCCACCCTCAGTCTTTTTTCAGCAGCTGCAGGGCTCCCGGGACTCTGCTAATAGATTGGAAAGGGAAACTGAGGCACGTCGCAGAGGGCCAAGAACTAGACGCTGGGACGCGGGTGCAAGTCACCATTAGCGGGCCACAGTCTCTACAAGCGACTCCCATCCTGACTCTGAATTCCCTGACCAGGGGATGTCCCGCCCTCCCTAGAATACCCACCTCCCGCTCCCCGTAACCTCGGCCAGGCCGCCTCTGTGCTCCGCTCTTCGGCTCCTCCCATCCTCTCCCCCACCCCTGCCAGAGGCAGGTGGGTGGAAAAGTGACATCTGGTGTTGTTCCAGAGGCGCCCAGGTCCCCCCGCCCCCANNNNGGGGGCGGGAGGGGGTTGGGGCGCTCCGCCTCCTCTGAGTCAATATTTGCCCCGAGCAAACGGGCCCCGGACAGGTGTGAGTGCGCTTGTGTGTATGTGCGTCTAGGGGCGGGGACTGAACAGGCCGTATAAGAGGGCGCTGCGCCGGGCTTCGGCCCAAGCTCCGGGGCGTGCGCTGGGGACCAA